TGAAATGAACTTGAAAATAAATGACATTAAGGTGCAAGGATTAAAGATTACAAAAGTATTAAAGCTTACTACAATAGAAATGGAGAAGAAAATGCAAAAATATAAATTTCTATTACATTATTCATCATCTTCTTCATCGGATTTTCTAAGCTTAGGTAGCCACTCCCAAAGCTTGTGGAATGCTGAATATATGGTGAAGGAGAGATGCATTTCCGTTCATGAGGCTCCCCTAGCCTGTGCGTGCAGACCTCCCATCAATGGGAGGTGATTTGAAGGCTTGGACAGGCTAGGAGAAGCTTAGCCTGCAACTCGCCTCTGGCAGCCCCCTTCTTTCCAATCCTCATTAATGCAATGGCCTCCCAAGACTTCAACTAGGGTGTAGGGGACATGTAAATATATAAGGGATGTTAGGGAACAAGTGGGAGAATCAATGGTAGGATCCCCAAGAAAGTGGAGCATGAGTTGCAAGCATTCTGCGCAAAACCTTTCGGAAGGTCTTTCAGAAGATGACAGCTTAGGACCACTTTTAGTAAAATTGCCATAACTTCTGATCAAACCGTCAGATTAAGCTGAAATATTTCCACAATACAGAAGATATCCAGATCTACAACTGTCAGGTGTTGCACGTTTTTAGATTTGAAGTGGATCATGGTCAAACATGGGAAAAATAACGGTATTTTGTAAAGACCTTGGGAAACCAGTGGGCTAAACCTTCCGGAAGATTTTCATCTAAATTGTATTTTTCTTGGTTTCTTCACCTTCCAAGCCTCCCTATCCTCATTCAGTGTGTCCATCTCTTCACCACACATTCACACTTAGTTGTAAAGCTCTAAAAGTCATAATTTATGCTATAATTACCTGCAACATCAAAATTTTTACATTATTCCTAAATTAAACTAATTCTAATAATTAATATGCAAATTTAAGTTAAAAAGTATGAAATGAGGCCAATAAATATGCAATGTTTTGTGCTCATCACCCCGAGGTCCCAAAGATGATCAGTGTCACCTTGCTCTTTACCAACAGATCATCAATATATACTTCCATCATGTTGTTGCTTAAAATTTTATTCATCAGGTGCTGATAAGTGGCAGCAGCATTTTTCAAACCGAACGGCATCACCGTGTAACAATATATCCCTCGAGATGTGATGAAAGTCATTTTCTCTTGATCAGATTCATACAAAGGGATCTAGTGATAACCTGCTCGGGCGTCCGTGAAACTAATACGCCTGTGCCTCGTTGTCACATCAACGAGCTGATCAACCTTTGGCAAAGGGTATTCATCTTTGGGGCATGCCTTGTTCAAGTCTGTAATATCCACTCAAACTCGCCACTTTCCATCTTTCTTCTTTGCACATACCGTATTTGACAGGCATTCGGGGAATTAGACTTCCCTGATTGATCCAGCCTCAAGCAACCGATCCAACCCTTCATTAATCGCCTGTGTGGTGAGGCGCCGACCTCTGAGCCTTTTGCTTCACGAGTTTAAAAGTTGGATATACATGAATTCGATGACATATCACCTCGGGACTTATCCTTGTCATCTCGACTAGTGTCCAAGCGAAGACGTTGGCATTCCGGCAAAGGAAATTTATCATATCAAACTTCTCGGTACCACCTAATGATTTTTCCATCAAGAAAAATCTCTCCTTATCCCCGGGATTTAGAAGGACCTTGAATAGAGCCTCTGTGGACTGATTAGCTAAATAAATAATGGGATCTTTTACACCTGGCCTATAGGATTGGGATTGCTATTTGGCTAACACTGCAGCAGGACCACGTTCCTGGGGTCCAGCGTTAACCCTGGTCTTCACTACTGCATAAAAATAGCTATTTGATGGCGCTTGATTGCTGCGAATTTCCATGACTCCCTTCAGCGTGGGGAATTTTATCTTCTGATGATAGAAAGAATGCACTGTCTTCATTGCATACAACCATATTCTACCCATAATGGCATTGTATGGGGAGTAGGAGTCTATCACCACGAACTCGAGCAGGACTGTGACAACTTCAGCGGTGACCATGAGCGTAACCTTTTTGAGTGGGAGGGCATATGAACCGTTGAATCCAACAAGGGGGGTTTTTACTGGCTTCAAGTCTTTCTGAGTGAAACCCATTTTATGAAAGAGGTTATCGTACATTACCTCAGAGGAACTTCTTGAGTCCACCAGGATCCTCTTGACATCGAACTTCTCAATCTGAAGGGTGATCACTAGGGTGTCTTCGTGTGAGAGGGTTAGCCCACCAAGGTCACCATCAAAAAAATGAATTATCTCGGCATGTAGCCGAGGTCTTTTAGATTGCCCCCCACATTTGTTTCCTCCTCTTTCACGACTTGCAAAACCCTCTCGAGGTTGGCTCGGAGTGACTTATAAGTTGGTTTGTCCACCATGCAAGCATGTATTACTTCAATCACGGTTGCCGTTTCTTGGGTTATGCCTGCTCCTTCCCTAGATGAGCCCCTTGGGACCACACCATCAATAAATTCACCTAGATAACCTTCTAAGGCCAACTGTTCAAGGAATGATTTGTACACCCTACAATCCTTGGTGAGATCTCTAATGTCTTGACGGTAAGAACATCGAGACATCGAATCTCTAAAGGACGGATCCCCTTCCATCTTCGAGGGCCAGTTGAAAAAAGGCTCCTTCTTTATCTTGTGGAACATTTTGTAAATGGGTTCTTTAAAGACTGTGCTAACCCTATGGAAAGACATGCGGGTTGGGGTCACAGTTGGTGCTCCCCTCCTAACGGGAAGTTCCTTGTCTCGTTTCCTCTACGCAAGAGCCTTAGGCTTGAGCATAGCCAACTCCTCCTCCAGCCTCGCATACTTGTTTATCCGAGACATTAGGTTCTTCATGTCCATCGGTGCTCGCTTAGTCAAAGATCAATACAGATCAGTGTCTCGAGACAACCCCAGCCGAAATGTCGCTGCAGTCATGGCCTCCGAGCATGCCTTGACTTCATTCACCTCCTCCCAATACTTGATTGCGTGCTGCCGAAAGGTTTTTGCACCCCTTTGTTTGATCGTTAGTAGAGCGCCAATGTCTTTTGGCCTTTTGCTGCTGGTAATAAATCGGACAATAAATAACTCGGTCAACTACTTCCAGGACATAATACTTTCAAGAGCGAAACTCTCGTACCATTTCATGGCAGTGTCTCCCAAGCTCATAGGGAACACTCGACACAATAATATTTGGTCAGTGTCATACATGGACATCAGTTGTTTATATTGTCGCAGATGTCCCTCAGGGTCTGTCCTACCATCATAAACATTAAAACAGGGGATGGTGAACTTCTTAGGCATCTCGATCTCCCTGATAGCCTAAACAAATAGAGAGACGATTTGCTCATCTTCGATGTCATCATCCCTTTGGAGGGGTCTTTGGCGCTTGGCATCCAAGCGCAAATGGAGGTCTTCCCACGGCCTCTTACTTCTAGGCCCCTTCGTAGTTGATTTTCTGTGGGATTTTGCCGCCTTTGTACCTCCTGAGAGTTTGTGGGGAAGATCTCCACGAGACGGATCCAATCTGCGCTTCTTGCCCCCTTTGGATTTTTCCTCAAGGGCACGGCCCTCAAAATTTCGAGGCCCGCACCTCTCGTCAAGGCGTTCATGCAAGCTCCTCCTCGGGGTATCCCGCCTTGTGTCTCAAGAGTCACTCCGATGGATACTCTTGTCTCCATGCTTGCTACTCCGCCATTTGGTATTCTCCGACCGCTCGAAACCATCGAGCCAAGTATGTACGTTGGCGTTGTCTTTCTCAAGCCACTTCAAACGGCTCCCCATCCTTTTCTCCATCAATTTGATGATTTCACGAGCCAAGACGCCTTGTCCCCCAAGGCTCTGGTCCACCGATATGGTCTGCTATGAGACGCACTAAGCTCCATCTGACTGGTTCAAGGAATCTGATTCAATGACTACTAGGAGCTAGCTAGCTTCCGCGTTTCCCACGCGTAGGCTATCCCGCAGATCACCTTGGGATCGTGTGTTTACCATGACACTATCACCACGGGGAAAACTGGTCTGCAAGTTCCCACAGACGACGCCAAATTGCACGAGTGATTTCATGCAACGAGTTGAGATAATGATACATCGAACGATCCTGAGTAACACCAAACCTCAAATGAAGGATTAGGAAAAGGGGCTGAGTGTGTACCCAACTAATCCCCTCCAATACTCAAGTTAGTTGGCATGAGAGTCATAAAAAAGGTCTTTTCTCGATTGGAATTACATACCTTATACTATTTTTTTTAGGGGTATTATTCCTAAATTTGCAATGATGGAGGGGTCTTCGACTCCCATCTCATAATTTAATGGCATGCACTCATATCCAAGCATATTTAGTGCTATCATGTCAAATCTCTTGAAGACTAACCCCCTCGAGCAAGTAAACCCTTGCTCAACGTCAACTGAGCCTTTATGGCCCAAACCTCGGTCATTAAATACCTCTCCTCGGTGCTTCACACCTACACCCAACACATTCACTACTTGAGAATAAGCACCCTCAAGGTTTGCCGAGGACATTCAGTCGGCATTATGACACTTAATGTCTTGTAATAATTATTGTCTTCACATTTCTCAAAGATACGGACACCCATTAATGACCATATCACACTCACTCAAGACCCTAGTAATGAGCCGTTATATCCCTTTTAATGCTGGACCCTGAGGGGCACACTCGGCCCTGCTGGTTGTAACTCCTTAGTGCTTTTCCCAAGCGATCCTTACGCTCCATAACAGCTATATTTGTACATGTGTCCATTTACTACTATCAAGCAGCCCAAAATCACGTTGTGTAATTCCAGAATAAGTATAAAGTTGGTTGCATTCAACGAGACCAAACTTTTCACAAGATCAAATTCTAACAGCTCAACAGTTGCCATTCATTATATTATTAGGCTTGTGCCTCTGGCTCCAGAGATTAGCATGAAGTTCAATCTTATCACATCCACATCTTAACAAAAAACCAGTTGTGAAACAATCACTCATACTGCATTTACTGGAATCAACCGAATTTTCATTTGTCGCCACTATTAAAAAACGAGTTACATCAGGATCCATGAAACAAGTACAAAAAAATTCAGTAGAAACCACTAATAATACTTACACCTATACAGAGAGAGAACCTAGAAGTCAGTTCAGCTTCATAATTGAACAAGTGACCATATCGCTTTTTTAACCCGCATCACAAGAAGGCATTGCATGTCACAGTTAAGAATCCCAAACTTGCCCCTTCCACAAGCAGGGTTAAAAACCTTGACCAAAGTGGTACATTTTGCAATTATCTGTAGGGATATCTAGCTTCCACAAGCCATGCACTCTTCACGGTTTGTTAGAGAGCATACCATCTGTGACATTTTGGTATTATCATCACCGTCATCTGCAATATTGATCTTTTCCTGCATTTCAATCAAGAAATGTTTTTTTTCAATAGCAGCAAAAAAATTGAGTAGATGAGGATTTCAGTAATTGATGGCATTTATTACCTTGAGCATGGTTGTATCAACAGTAAACTTGATGGCATCAGCAGCAGCACGTGATCTTAGATATTACATACCAGTTTTCAGACCCTTTTGTATCCAGAACAAGAATAATAAATCAGAAAAGATTGTCAAAGCACGTTATTAACAATCACAGCAGTAATTAATCAAGTCCATCACAAAGCAAACCCATGGGTACAGCATCAGATTGAAAAATGAATCTAATTGAGAACCACAATGTAACAGCCATTCTTCTTATTTACAGCTGAAGTTGCTCCAGAACCTTCTTTTTATCTTTATCCTGGGAAGGAGATTGTTTAACAGTAATTTTTTTTCGAGTCGTCAAAATCATTGATCAGCATTGAAATCACTTTTGCTCCTACCTAGAAGGGTTTCTTCATTTTTATCATAGTAGAGGCTGTCTTGAAAATTTGTGTATAGAGAACAAAAAAAACCCACAACCAAACGATGCTGTCCTATCAAATCATGGAGCCCTTCTCTGAACAAAGGAGAGAATAAAAGATCCTCCCACATTAAGCAGGGAAGTCGGATACGGTCCAATTATCATCAAGTTGAAGAGATTGTATACCCTGGACCATGCATGGAAGTGCAGGGAAGTAAGCTTTCCAAAATTGGGTTGGTCCATATGTATATTCAGGCTTTGACTCTGGTCTATGTAGCATCCACGATCAACAGCCATATCAACCAGCATCCTTTGCTTGATCTCCCAAACAGTCCTGATTTCAGTAATTTATATTAGCGTTGGGCCAGAAGAAACTCATATATACATACATATATACATCAAGAAAAAGAAGTCAGTTCAAAAAATGCCAAATTCATACTTGTAAATAACTTTCTGCTCATCAAGAATTTCTGGGATTTTCTGCACAGAACCATTGTCATATATTATCCTGTTCTTAAGGGCGGGAGACCAAAGACCTGTCTCAGTAAAGTCGTGAAGAAGATGTTTGTTCACCACAACAAATTCACCACTGAAGAAAAAATCAATAGTAGGAATGAGATGGCTGATGGCAACACGGGAAAGTCAATTAATGGATGGTAATAATAGAGTAGGCAGCAATGCAGACCTCAGAACTCTGCGACTGTAAATATTGGAAGTATATGGTTCAAAGCACTCATTATTCCCAAGAATTTGGCTGGTTGATGCCGTGGGCATGGGTGCCACAAGAAGTGAATTTCTTACTCCATTCTTAGCTATCATTCCTCGAACAGCATCCCAGTCCCACCGATTTGAAGGTGTTACTCCCCACATATCTGGTTGAGTAATCCCCTGCAGAGCAGGATGGCACTTGAGCAAACATGCCTATATACTAATTTGCGACTAATGAAATCCCCATGAATGAAAAATGTTTCAAGGAAGATCAGATGAATTGTTTATTTGATTATGTTATATGACGTATGTATTATTCATATAGAGGAATGCCAAACTATTAAAGGATTTCCTAATTGACTTGGAATAAATGAGAACTTATGCCAAGAAGTGAAAGCACTTAAGTGGAGACATCTAACAGTTACAAAAATTAACAATTCTAAGGACAGCAACGATGACAGGCAGATAGTAAAATATTTGGACATAGACTGAGATATGCAGTGAATTACCAAACAAAAAAGACATTCAAAAGGTCATTATCACTTTGTAAAGAATATATAGATCTATGGAGTAAATAACCAATCAACAAGACATTTGTCTCAAAATAGTCATTGCCCCCACGCACTGACAGACAGCTCCTTTTAAAATGATACCTTGCTCACAGGACTTCCAATATAAGTGTCATAGGGGCCTTCTTTGGCAGCCAACTCAGATGAAGCCTTTAGAGCATGGTAGTATACGGTCTCAAATATGTCTTTGTTCAGCTTCTGAGCCTGCAATGCAGACCAAATAACTAAGCAAACCCAGCAATCCAATAGAACTCTGTCAAAAAACCTAAGGCATGTGAAAGTAGCTTTTACCTCTGGTGAATCAAATGGCATGCCAAGCAATATAAAAGTATCTGCAAGACCTTGGACCCCAATACCAATAGGTCTGTGTCGTAAATTTGACCTTTGTGCAGTTTCAACCGGGTAATAATTAACATCAATTATTTTGTTAAGATTTGTAGTAACTACGGCAGTAACCTGTTCCAACAAAATATAGTAAAGTTATGTGACCAACACTACAAAGGATAACTAAGTTTACATATAGCTATGAATAAATGTTACAGGACAGGTATACAAGGCAATTGCACAGACAAAACAAATCAAACCTCTGCTAGTTTGTCAAAATCAAAATATCTATTCTTAGAACCTCTGCTGCCAACAAGCTTGGAAGGTTGTGCTTCCATTGGAACCCCCTGCAACCCAAAAAAATAATACAATCTCAAATGGAAAACAAGCAAAACCAAGAAAAGAACAATGTTATCAAACAATCACATCTTAAAATCCCACCTTTTCTCTAACATATCGGGGTAGAGCAATTGATGCCAGATTACATACAGCAGTTTCTGTTGGACTTGTATTCTCAATGATCTCAGTACACAAATTTGAACACTTGATGGTTCCCAGATTCTGCTGATTGCTCTTTCTATTGCTAGTGTCCTGGAAAGACAACAAGAAAATAAGGTTAAGAAAAGACAGTCTTCACTGCAAGCAACTTCTGAGAAAAAAAAAAAAAAAACAACAGAAGTTCCATAGTAATCTCCCTAGATCACCTTAAATAGCATGTACGGGGTCCCAGTTTCTATCTGGGACTTCAAAATTTCAAACCAGAGATTCTGTGCCTGGACAACTTTCTTTGCCTTGCCCTGAATTCAGAAAAAGGACGTTATTATGATCAACTTCCACTAAGATCCAACAAAATTTGCATTTGCAGAATGCAGAATAAAGGATGACAAAGTGCTTCAGCTTACCTGTCTTTCATATTGAGTGTACAATTTTCCAAATTCTTCACCCCAACAATCAGCCAAACCTGGAGTCTCATTTGAACAAAACAAGGACCATTGCCCATTGCTCTGGACCCTTTCCATAAAAAGGTCAGGCACCCAAAGAGCATAAAATAGATCCCGGGCACGGAGCTCTTCCTACAAGAATGGCAATTCTCACTATTAGATATTATTTTTAACACACAAAACCTGGGTATGGCGAAAAGAGAACTAATATTATCCAAATTAGAGTATTGAACAATTCCCAGAGTATAATTCATAGGGCCACTATGGAGAATTATGTGGATCCCCCAAACTATATGGCATGAATGACTACTAAATGAATCAGTTATACCTTTCCATTGTTTTTTCTTAGATCCAGAAACTAAAAAATATCAGCATGCCATGGCTCTAGGTACACAGCAAAAGCACCTACATGCCACAAAAACAATACCTCAAAACGAGGTACCGCCATAACATTAAACATATTAAAACAGATGACAAGGTGACGTACCCTTCCTCTTGCCACCCCCTTGATCAACATAGCAGGCAGTGTCATTGAACACTCGCAGCATTGGAACAATGCCATTGGATGTCCCATTTGTTCCACGGATATAGCTGCCAGTAGCACAGATGTTATGAACAGAGACACCAATTCCTCCAGCTGATTTGCTGATAACAGCACACTCCTTGAGAGTCTCATATATTCCTTCAATACTATCCTCTTTCATGCACACCAGGAAACAGCTACTTAACTGCCAACTCGCAATAACAGAACTATGTGAGTGTCAAAGCAGTGTGTAAGTCATGACTATTAGGGAAAGCAGAAAATGTTAATTGATGAAACAGAGTGCAAGAATTATAAGTAAACCTAAATAAAAAGGATGTTGTTCATGCATCTCACTAAAATATTTAAAGTCCACTAGCAGAAGTTTTGTTAAATTTTAGTGTAAAAGCATTACATACTTGAGGCCTTGGAGTTCCGGAATTGAAAAGAGTACGAGAGGCATGAGTGAACCATCGTTGAGACATCAAATGGTATGTCCTGATGACAGATTCAATATCAACTTTGTGAATTCCAACTGCAACCCTCATCAACATGTGCTGTGGCCTTTCCACAACCTTCCCTTGGACCTTCAAAAGGTAGGATCTCTCAAGGGTTTTGAAACCAAAGTAATCATAGTCAAAATCCCGATCATAAATAATCTCACCGTCCAATCGAGCAGCATTCTGAAACAAACAAAAAAGTAAAAAAACCAATGCATGATTGAAAAGTTAGATGTACAATTAAAGGTATCAATTCAATTGACATGTGGTTACAGAAAACTATGAGACCAATGATGCAAGCTTATAAGGAACTAGGATCTCATCCATGCCAATGATCCCATCAAGTGATTTTGATCCAAAACAAAATTCTGCAGTTGTTTTTTGGTTATTTCGTTTTCCAGCACCTCTCTATTCTACCCTTCATGTACATCTTGAACAGGTAGATTATCCTACCAGAGTGGGTAAGAAGTGATTTGAGCACCTTTTTTCCTGCATGAGCGCTTTTCAAAGTGAAAGAATATCACTACCCCTCGACTATTCTTTGGAGTTTTTCTTATACAGGTAATTTTGAAATTGAGTTCTTGTAATGTACACAGAATTACAAAATTTGCATCCTAACTTATTAATGCACTGTAAATGCTTTTTTATTTTTTTTTTCAGCAACAAAATAAAAGCATATATATTTACTATTTCACAGAAGTGATCTGGATTAATTAAAGTATGAGAAAAGATCCAATGCCAAGACCAATTCACCCATGCACAAGCTATGTCTTACGAGTGTTTTTTGCAAAATCAACAACATATAAAGAAAATATCATATATAGCCAGTATAAAATACCTATTATTTTGGATATAAAGTGATCTTCCCTTGTTACCTTAAACTGATAAGGTAAACTGAGTAGTTAGACACAAGCAATATCAAAAGGAAAAGAATACCTCCATAATAATTTCATATACGTCATCAGCAATCAGAGGTGCCTTCTGTCCAGATCTCTCACTGACATGGTTGTGCATGTCTTTGACCCTGCAGCAACCACACAGATAAGACCATTTTCTAGATTTTCAATGACAGAACCTACAACGAAAAAACAAAACCTAAGAATAACTAACAATTTGAAAGAACTTACGTCTCTGAAAATGATTTCTTAGTATTCTTGTGCAGATTTGAAACAACAATCTTTGCAGCCAACTGTACCAAACAAGCTTTAGAATAACACATGATTCAAAACACATCAAAGCAACAAAGCATACAAAATGACAAATGAAACCGAAAGCTTAGGTTCCAATAATAAATCTGAGCTTACTTTGTCAGCAATATGAACCGGATAGTAAAAATATCTACCCACACACATTTCTATACTTACCAACCCAAAACCAAAAACAACAAACAAACAGAAATAATCAAAAAATGAAGAAAATTGAAAAAAGAGGCACAAACCCAGAACCAAAATCAATAAAAAAAAATGATATGAACAAACAAATGTTCAGTCAGCAGGAACAAATTCAAGACAGTTAGAGGTCACAAGAGCTCATAAAAAAAAAACCAAAACTCAAAGGCGCAAATCAGCACTGAATTGGGAGAAAAACACTCACACAAGCATAATCAGGATGATTAGCAGTCATCGCAGCGGCGGTCTCAGCGGCCAATTCATCGAGCTGACTAGTAGTGACGCCCTTGTAGACACCAGCACAAACCTTCTGGGCCACGAACACGGGATCGCAATGCTCAACGCTGAGCCCATAACTCAGCTTCTTCAGTCTCGCCGTGATCTTGTCGAAGTGGACGGATTCTTGACGCCTATCTCTCTTCACCACGTACATCTTCAAGTCGAATAAGAATTTGGGTGTATCTTCCCTGAGGACTTCTACCAAACAAGTTTTAGGCACAAATCAGAGTGAGAATACGAAAGGCGATGTAAATATACACGAGAGAGAGAGAGAGAGAGAGAGAGAGCGAGAGAGTTTGAAATTTGTAATGAGGGTCTGTTTCCCTCTTGGATTTGAAATTTCCGGCTAATTGGTCGTGCGGTTGGTGGCGGCAAAAAGGGGGATGATAGGGTGGAGATGCGTAGGGAACACTTCATTACACTTTTGGATACGTATAGTAGGGCACGTGGGATAAGGGGGAGATTTGAAAGATGGGTTAGCAATAAAAGTCTATAAAATTCATCAAATTTATGTTTAATAACTATATTTCTAGTCCAAAATATCAAACTCAGTCTGTTTTAGGTTTACAATTTAAACTCATGTTCATGGGTTTTGTGCGGGGATAGATCCACGCTAAAAGTAACCACCTCGTACAGACTGAGAAGGTGGCAGAAAAGTCTTGGTAAACCTACAAAATAAGAGAACGGGTAATTGAATCGAAAGTTGGAGACGATCAAAGGACTCTAATGCTTAAGTCAGTAAGCTAGTTGAAGAAAAAGTGTATGGTGAATAGGCTCGGATTAAATTACATACCTGGCACCCGTAACTTTTATTTATAATGACATAGGAAGTCATGTTCCAAGTAGAATCAAACTCTAAGTTGTGATAAGTTAGACCTCATCATTAATCTCCTAGATATTCGAGGATAAATCATACTAGGACGTTGAGTCTTGGCTTGTAGGAAAGGATATGCTCGTTGGGAGGCGTTGTTTATCAATATTCACTTAATACTCAGAGTCGAGTTTTATTAGGACTCTAGGTCTCGGGCCAATCTGGGCAACGGGTAAAGGCAACGCCAGAATGAGGGTCGTGGTGGCACTAGGTGCAAGTGATGCTGGAGGCGAGGCAGCTAGCTGGACGGTACTCTAGGCACTACTGGCGATGCCTAAAAGTTGGTAGGGTGCCTTGGGCGACGCCTAGGCAAAGCTGAGTGCTATGGTCAAAGCATGAGTCAATTTTGGTATGTTGTGTGGGCGACACCTTAGTTGCTCACAAAAGGGTGTGGTGATATATGGGTGCAGCCGCACAACACAAATATATAAACATATTTCCTCATGTAATGCAAAAAGAGGAACTACATGAGAGAGAAAAAAAATGTGGTTTGGGCGACGCCCCATTAGAGGTGTGACCTCTGTCCCACAATTGCCTCCATACCTCCTTTAATGGAGTAAATTAAATGAGGTATCAACAGGGCTTTCTTAGAGTTACTTTTTTGTGTGCCTGCTCAGCTACACTTGACATCCATAGGATAAGGAGGCATAGTAATAGTGAGGTTGTTAAGTCCTTATACACCCCCTTGGATGGTTCCGTGTATTAGTGGTCCGCACAGATAAGTTTTTTTTTCTCTTAGATCTTTGAATTGCAACTGTGGAGGTTGGCGCACGAGATGCAACCATAGAGGTTGGCGTAAAGGATGCAATCACGAAGGTTGGCTTAAAGGATGCAACCGTGAAGGTTGACTTAGGAGTGCAACCGTAGAAGTTTGGCTTTTAGAGGTGCAATCGTAGAGGTTGGCTTTTAAGAATGCAACTGTAGAGGTTGGCTTTAAGAGGGCTCAGAGCTGTGAAGAACAAACTTCTCTTTATTGATGATCTAGAATGAATGTCATTGTAGACTTATTGTAATGATAATGTATTACTATCTAGAAGTAAAACTTTCTAAGATTGATGATATTCCAAGGTCGGTGAACTAGTTTGGCATCAAGCTCCTCCAACCTATATGCTCATGTCCCTACTCGTGCCGCGACCCTATAAGGCCCTTCCCATTTAGGGCCTAACTTGTCATCCATAGGGTCCTTAGTCTGAGCGAGAACCCTATGAAGAACACTAGGTGTGAAGCTCTTTTCTTTGACCTTCTTGTTATAGGATCTAGCTAACTCCTCTTGATATGCTGCCAACCGAACCATTGCTCAGTCCCTTCTTTCTTCGATAAGATCCAAGTTATGTTCAAGGGTTTGATCATTGTTACCTTGCTCATAGACCTTAGTTCTTATAGTTGGTAGACCTACTTCAAAAGGAATAACAGCTTATGTACCGTATAAGAGGGAGAAAGACATCTCTCCTGTAGAATGCCTTGGGGTTGCTTTGCAAGCCCAAAGCACCATTAGAAGTTATTCCACCTACTTTCCTTTGGCTACTTCTAGCTTCTTTTTGATACTGTCAAGGATGACCTAATTTGAAGCTTCAGCTTGCCTATTTGATTGAGGGTAAGCAGGGGAGGAATAATAATTGCAGAGCCCATGTCCCAAATAGAATTCTTTGAACGTTAAGCTATCAAATTGAGTGCCATTGTCAGATATAAGGGCATAAGGAATTCCATACCTTGTGATTATATTATCTCATACAAACTTCTTGGTATCAGTGTCGCGGATGTCAGAGAGGGGCTCGGCCTTAATCCACTTTGTAAAGTAATCAGTTGTAGTGATGAGATACATTTTGTTGGATGGAGCCCTAGGAAGGTAACCTACTATGTCGAGACCCCATTGAGCGAATGGCCAAGGGCTCGTGAGTGGGTTTAGGTCACCAGCTAGCTATCGAGGTATAGTATCAAACCTTTGACACTTATTGCATTTCTTGACATATACTTGTGCGTCCTTCTGTATATACGGGCACCAATACCCTTGGGAGATGTCCCTTAAGGCAAGACTTCTTCCTCCAGTATAGGCATCAGACACTCCTTCGTGGATCTCATAGAGTAGATCCTTCACTTTGCTAGGGTGGACACATAGTAAGTACAACCTTGAGAAAAACCTCCTATAGAGCTTATGATCCGGTGACAACTAGTAACGGGCTTATTTTGAGATGATGAGTCTTGCCTCCTTCTTATCCTCTAGGAGAGTCCCATTCTTAAGATATTGGACAAGAGGGTCCATCCAACTCGGTGCTTGCTCCATGCAATTGACCTCTACTGGGTCCTCATGTATACTTGGTTTCTCGAGATACTCCACCTCAATCGTTCGCTTTAAACCTTGTTTATTAGCGGAAGCTAGGGTAACAAGAGCATCTGCGTGTTCATTTTGGTCTCTTGGGATCTGGATTACCTTGTAGGACTTCAACTATCCAAGCAAGTCCTTGCCTTCTCTAAGTACAAGGTCATTGTGTTTGAACGGGCTTTGTACTCCCCAAATAGTTGGTTGACCACCAATAGAGAATCGAAGTATATAGTTAACTCCTCTGCCCCCAGTCTCAATGCAGCCCGTACACCAAAGATTAATGCTTTGTACTCAGCCTCATTGTTGGTGGCAGCGAACCCCAACTGGAGGGCCAACTCCAAGACTTCCCCATTAGGGGAGAACAGGACAATACTGGCTCTTGATCCTTTTCGAGTCGAGGATCCATCAACCTGTAACTCCTAAGGTTGGGATCTGAGAGCTAAGCTCCATGCTACTGCATGTTCTTTTGGTAGCTCATATGTAAACTCTACTATGAAGTTGGTTGAGACTTATGCTTTAATCGTCGTTCTTGGAGTGAATTTGAGGTTGTACTACCCCAGATCAAGTGACCACTTTGCAATGCTACCAGAGAGATCCGCCCTACCAATTGCACTCCTCAAGGTGTGTGCTTGGAAATAGTGGTTCAACTTGTGAGAAGTTATAACCAATGCAAAAAGTAGTTTTTCGAGGGGGGGGAATACCTGGTCTCTGCCCCCAATAAAGTTTTGCTTACAAAATAAATAGGCTTTTGTTCCCTCCTTTCTGCCTGTAGCAACACTCCACTTATAGCGTGTTCGGATATGACTAAATAGAGTTAGAGCTCTTCACTTTGCAAAGGAGTGGAGAGCAAAAGAAGTGTTCTAAGCAACTAAAAGAAGGGTCTACATCAGTCTGAAGATCGACTGATAAATTGGTTAAGGGCCGTAGCCATGCCTATTAACCTCTGGACTTCCTTGATTGAGGAAGGCTTCTTAATTGCCTGCAAAGCCTTAATCTGATATGGATCAGCTTCTATCCCTATTTGTATCACCAAATGTCCTAAGAATTTCCAGAGCTCACTCCGAAGGCACACTTTGAGGCGTTAAGCTTGAGCTTGTGATGCTTCAAGATATTTGAAGGTCATAGAAGTGGTTCTCTGACTCCTTGCTCTTAACCACCATATCATCCATGTACACCTCCATTGTTTGGCCGATGATGGAGCCAAAGAGCTTTGTCACCATTCTCTGGTAAGTAGCTCCCGCGTTCTTCAAGCCGAAAGGCAAGACCTTGTAGCAGTAGATCCCCTTTGACGTGATAAATGTTGTCTTTTCCTTATCAAGCCCAAACATTGGAATTCGATGGTAGCCTCTATATGCATCTAAGATGCTTATCCTTGCATGGCCAGATGTGGCATCCATAAGCTGATCAATCTTCAGGAGCAAAGAAGGGTCCTTTGGGCCGGCCTTGTTGAGGTCTATGAAGTCAATGCATATTCGCCACTTTTCATTCTTCTTATTGACCACAACGGTGGGTATTGGACCTCCTTTATAGCACTGGCCTCCAAGAGCTTGCCCACCTCCTCATCAACGGCTTCTGCATGCTGGAGAGCAAACCTCCTACACTTTGAACAACAGGCTTGCGAGCAAGGTCTATATTAAGATGATGGCTAGCTAATGAGGGATAGATACCTCGCATCTCATAAGTTGTCCAGGCAAAGATCTCAATGTTCCTCCTTAGTAGCCCAATAAGAGACTTTTTCTCGGGTGCAAGTAGCTGTGACCTGATCAAGAAGTATCTATCCAGATCTGTTTGGACTACTAGTATGACCTGCAACTCTTCGATTGACTTATCTTTAGGTTTAACCCCTATGTCCTTAAGGAAGAGGAGTTCTTCATCAGCAATGAACACCTGCTGTGACTTGGCCACCAATATAGCCCCTATATTAAGGCACTGTTTAGAAGTAGCTTGGTCTCCACAGATCTCA